GCTTCTACTGCTTTAAGTAATGCTTAAAATGAATTTCACTTGAAAACCACAGGAGACTTTGGTTTAATTGAAATGGTCCCCATTAGTTCAGTTGATGTGACTAAGTACTTAGACATTAGAACATAATTGTTTTCCTTCCTGTGTTTAAGTTCATTCCATGATATACTTTCTACAGATTAGTGAGTTCCCAACTCTCTTCATGATTGTATTAAGCATAGCAAGGTAGCCCTTGTATGTGGCAATTAATAATTCTACTGTTGCAAATGTATCCCAAGGAGGGCCATCTCTGATCATCCTGATGTCTATCTGGCCACTGGACCCAGATGGCTCTGGAGGAGAAAATGAGGCAGGTAACCTTAGATAGCCCTCCTCACTTAAATCCAATTCACTTGCATGTCGTGACATCACCTTCCTGATGTCCTCTTCAAGAACAAAAGACAAACAACAATCCCAAGGAAATAATTTTAAAATCAAACAATGAGCATTTATTAAGAAGACAGAAGGATAGCAGGAAGGTGTACAAGGTAGCTCCCTCCCCCATAAAAAGAAAACATCTCTAAACAGATCTAGAAAAGGTACCAGACCAAATCCTCATGGGGAAATTCAAGCAAAAGTCACAATGAGTCATTTTGCCAGCCCAGATCAGCAGGGGAAAACAGAGAGGTTTGTGGACAGCTAGGGATGGGATCTGGCCAGTAATGGGTGGTGGCACCAAGTATTCCAGTGTAGGGAAAGTTTGTATACAGGGAAAGAGGGGCTCCCAGTTTTCAGAGGCATAGCCACTAGAGAGACTATGAAAGGCTTACTGCAGAATGTGACCCTTGAACTGAATATTGATTAAGCCAGTAGGTAGAAGTGAGGAGATAACCCATCCCTAGCATGTGAGGCAGCGAGCACAAAGGCATGAAATTAGGAGATGGAACATCATGTATGAAGGGCAGCCAGTAAGACAATGAGAGTGTATAGAGGGGAAGAAAGTATGAGAAGACTGGAAAGCTAGAAAGGTCCAGGTTGTAGAGTCAGCAGATTTCATATTTGATCCTGGAGCTGATGGGAAGTCTCCTGAGTAGGGGAATGTGATCAGACCTGCACATTAGAAAAATCACTTTTGAAGTTTTTTGTTTTGGGGTTTTTTTTGGGGGGGGGGGAGTATGGTTTGGAGTAAGGCAAGATGTGAGGCAGTTAGGGACTTTGAGTCAGGAAGACCTGAGTTCACATGTGGATTCAGACACTAGCTGTGTGATTCTGGGCATGTCACTTAACCCTGTTGACCTCCGTTTTCTCATCTGTAAGATGAGCTGGAGAAGGAAATAGCAAATCACTCCAGTATCATTTGCCAAGAAAACTCCAAATGGGGTCACAAAGAGTTGGAATGACTAAAACGACACAACACCAAGATGAGAGGTGAAACAAGTAGGAAGACGAATTAGGAAGTTATTACAATAGTCTGGGGAATGAGAAGGGAAGGGCCCAAACCAAAATGGTGGCCATGTGAATAAAGAGGAGGGTATATATCCAAAAGATAGTATGTGTAGTCTAGTCATGACAAGATTTGGCAACTGATTCGATGTTTGGGTGAGAGTGAGAAGTGAGGGTAACACCAAGCTTGCAAACATGGGCAACTAGAAGGTCAACCGAATTATAGATTGAGAGTTGAAGGGGACATTGTAGGTCGTCTGGGCCCCCCTTCTCATTTTACAAATGAGGCACTGAGGTCAAGAGAGGTTGTTTGCCCAGAGTCACATGGCTAATCAATGTCTAAATTGGGATTTGAACCCTGATTTTGCTGACTCTGAGCACTCTGTCCTTTCTGCCACATTGTCTCACGTACAGTAGAGGTCATGCCCTCCACACCAGTAGGGAAGTTTGAAAAAGGAGTGAGTTTATGGAGGAAGATAATGAGTTCTTTTGGGGGGCATGTTAGTTTTGAGATACTTACAAGATAGCCAGTTCAATGGGGTCTACAAGGCAAATGAAAATGTGGGACAGCAGCTCAAGAGAGAGACTAGGGCTGAATATATAGATCTGTACGTCATCTAAAGAAGATTTATAATTGAACCCATGGGAACTAATGAACTCAGAACAAGTATAGATAAAAAAAGAGGAGATTGTACCACAGAGCTAAGGGGGTACAGCCACAGTTTTTGCGCATGACATGCTCATAGTTCCAGCAAGTGAGACTGAGAATAAGTGGTCACAGAGGTTGGATGAATAGCCAAGAGAAGGCAGTGACATGAAAACCTAGAGAGGAGGTGATGACCAGAGAAGTTAAGAAAGCGAGGAGCAATAAAAGGTAACTATATTTGGTAATTAAGAGAGCATTGGTAACTTGGAGAGAGCAGCTTCAGTGGAATGATGAGGTCAGAAAGTATATTGCTGAGGGTTTAGAAGAGAGTGAAGGCTATGGATATGGGGGCACTGGTTGCAGGTGGCTTTTACAAGTGGTTTAGCTGAGAAAAGAAGGAAAGGCCAATTATTCCTTGGAATGGCAGGATCTTGAAAGGGTTTCTTAAGGATTTTGCAAACTTGAGTGTGCTTATATTCACTGGGGAAGGATCTGGTAGCTAGGAAGAGATTGAAGATTAGAGAGAAATAGGGGTTTACTGAGGGAACAATTTTCTGAAGAAAATGGAAAGGTATGGGATGAAGGGTATATGTAGAGGAGGTTTTCTGGGCAAATAAAAGTGCTACTTCTTAATCAAAGATTGAAAGAAAGGAGGATATACTGGGAAGGTGGAGAAGGTGATGTATGAATGGTATGAGATGGGAAGAAGGGGAGAAAATGAGTGTGTGTGTGTGTGTGTGTGTGTGTGTGTGTGTGTGTGTGTGTGTATGAGGTCCATCTGAGTAGCTGGGAGGGGTGGGGGAAGATAAGTAGATTGACTTTGGACATGTTGATTTTGGGAAGCCTGTGGCATGCAATTCAAAATATCTGATTTGCAGTCCTAGTGAAACTGAAGTTCGGTAGAGATAAATCTATCTTGTAATCTGAATCAGGAGATAATCAAACATATGAGAGCTGATGAGATCACCAAGTAAGAGCATTAAGGAAAAAGAAAAGAGGGCCCAAAACAATACCTAAAAATACTTTGGGGGGAATATTCACAATTAGCTGCCAAGTCATAGATGGAAACCCAGCAAGAGAAACTGAGGGGCTGTTGGACAGGAGAACAACCAAAAGAATAGTCATGAAAACCCAGAAAAAATACAGTATCCAAGAAGAGATGGTGGTTTACAGTGTCAGACCCTTCTCTGCTTTTTTTTTCTCTTTGCCAAAATCCATAGCTCAAGATCTAATAACAAACTTAGTTGGTGAAGTGTTCTCATCAACACCAAGCCACCAACTGGCTTATTTAGAAAATGCTTTCTAGACATCTCTTTTTCACACACCCCCTTGTTTTATGTGCCTTCCTTTTCTGGTGTGCCAAACCTCTGTATTTCTACCTACTCTTCCCTCCAAAAAAAAAAAAAAACACCTTACCAAAACTAGCTTCCTCTTGATAAAACTGGCTAATATGGGTAGAAGGGTCTGGACCTTAGCTTCCTCATCTATAAAATGAAGCAGCTGGAATAGGTGGCATCCACAGTGCCCTCCAAGTCTAAACCTTCTATTCTAGGACCATATTTGGTAACAGATTAGATCTCGACAAGTACTTCAAAGTCATTTAGACCAACCTCTTCATTTTATAGATCAGGAAACAGGATCAAAGATTCCTGAGAGAGCCAGTATCTGAACCTAGAGTCTCTGACTTCCATCACTCTTTCCCTTGAACCTTTGCCTGGATCTCTTTCTTCAATCATTTCCTCCCCATTTGTTCATTCAGCAAACATTTTATTAAGTTTCTACCATGTTGAAGACCCTGCTCTTGGCAGTAGGAATATGAAGATATAAGGGTCTTATTTCTTCCCTTCCCAGCCCATCACATCCTTTTGAAGTAGATGATGAAGAAATTGAGAGTCAGAAAGATTACAGAACGGATTTTTTAAAAAATTTTTTTTTCAGAATGGATTTTAGCCTAAGAAATGAGGAAGGGATTTTGAAGGTCATCTAATTCAAATTCCTCATGTTTAACAGATATGGAAAGACAGGCTAGGATCAGGGGTACAGAACTTGAGGCTTTGAGGCCACATGTGACCCTCTAGATCCTCAAGTGCCCTTTAACTGAATCCAAACTTCACAAAACAAATTCCCTTCATAAAAGGATTTGTTCTTGGACTGGGTCAAAAGGCCATGCCAGAGGACCTAGAAGGCCACAGGTGGCCTTGAAGCCACAGGTTCCCACCTCTGGGCTAGGCAAACTTGTCCAATATAACTTGACAAATGGCAGAATCTAAGTCCGAGCCCATGTCCTCTCACTGCAAATCCAGCATCTTTCCATTTTACTGTGCTCCTGAAGCACCTTGCCCAATAACAAGATAGTTTGGGGTTGGGGGATGGGGGAGGTGGGAGTGCTGAATGAGTACAGAGTTAGACATGAGTGATTAACCTACCCTGCTGCGAGTTCATGGAAGTTTTATCTCATTAGAGTTCTTGATGTTAAACTATGGTGACAGCCAAAATTATTTTATTTCTTGTACATATTCCTTTTTTGGAGCTGTCAAGGGGATTAGAGAAAACGTGTAGTCTTCCATCTTGCTAGTCACATCACTCCTCTGTAAGTTCATCTTCAGTTACTAGTATTCACTTCAAATTTGAGGTCCACCAGTGGTTTGGTACGTCTCTAGAAAAAGAAGGGTTTGCTGGTTTCCCTAGAGACACGCACAATCCTACGTGAATGCCGCTTTGTAAAGTTGTCGTGTTTATTGCACCAGCTAATCAACCATCAGCTCTGCCATAAAGTTGTATAGCATACCCACTCTCTTATAATAGGTAAGTGTCTGGTAACTCAGAAGACTGTAAAGTAGAAATAGTTTAATAAATTATTTGACTGCTGAGAAAGCAGTTACTCCTCTATAATGTTACTCATTTGTCTTTTCTTTCTATTAATACTTTTTTCCAGACTGATCAACCTCAAGATCTTTTGGGGCAAGAAATACAGGCAGGAATAGACTATGCCAACCTGGATATGGTCCAGGTAAACAAAAGTAAGCATCTCTCTATTTGGTTTGATATAGACTACCTTATTCTTATGTGTGCCTTCTATTGTTTATGTTCTCCATTTCTGGACAGGTCTGTCTGAAATATATTTCCACTCATTTCCAGCCGCTGTTTTGTTATATTATTTTAAATAATTCAGGACTATCCCCAGAAAAGCTCAGAATACTGATTTGTTTTGTTTCTATTTGAGATTCAACTCCAAGTTTTCTTTGTTTCTCTCCTTCCTCCCCTCCTCTACCTCCATCCCTCTCTCTTTCTTCTTCCCTGTTTTCCTCCCTCTCTCCCTTCTTTCCTTCCTTCATTCCACCCATCCATCCTTCTATATCCACTTCTAGAACTTTTTTTGAAGTTATCACATTTCTACCCTTTAAATCTTCCTCCTTCCCACTATCTTCCATGACAAAAGAATAGAAAACATTTGCTTTCAATTGTCTTATGGAAGGAATTATATGATGATACAAAAAGAAAAAAAACCTGTCATTTCACTCGTGTAAGTGAAAATAAACCTCATAACACTTCATTAACCCATCTTAAATGACATAATTAAAGATCCATTCTATTTTATCAAATTGTCATCTGATGAAATGGCTTAATTTTGCATCCCAGATGTATTTTAAACTTGAAAAATATCAAACACCCATGGTTTGCATCTGTTTCTTATTTTCTTAGACTGGAACAAATATGTGTATTTCTCCAACCTGAACTTTTCCACCCTTGGTGGAAATGTTAATGTCTTCCTTTCCTGCAGACCTAGACGAAAACAGAAATAAAGCATTTGGTACATGAGATAGGAGCATATGGGAAAATTTATGATATATGTAGAAAATGAATATCTCATACATTCCAAACCCCTTAGAAAGTATAAAGCAAGTTATAATGAAGGCACAGAAAGAAGGTAAAATGGTCAAGATTTTATTTTTCAGAGCAAACTTGCTTTAAAATGTTGTTTTGTGCTTTTATTTCAACTTCTGTTTAACTCTGGTCCACAAATACTAACATACCTTTAGATCTTACAATGAGGCCTCTCATTCCTTAGACTATTAAGGAAACTATAGGTATAGAATGCTGCATATGTAGTCTGACTGTTACTTTGGGTTGGTTCTGCTTAACTCTTTTTCTTTGTTAAAAGGGAGGGATTACATATTATTATCATAAAAACCATCAACTTTTTTATTGAATAAGATCGAATAGATAATAATTTTTGTCTTGAGATACATATGTATTTGTGGACAAGTTTTGCATTGTTTTAGAACCATATTCTTGAATTATGTTGTTCAGAGTATGATTTTTTAAGGTACAACATCCATATCTGGCCTCCATAGATTAGAATTTCCTCTGTGTGTGTGTGTGTGTGTGTGTGTGTGTGTGTGTATGTGTTTAGCAACAAGGAATTTATTCATTTTGGAAAACATTCTTTTTGTCCAGATTTAAAACAGATTCTGGTCATATGGCCCAAGCAATAATCCACTTATAGATAATCCAAGAAAGGGTATTATCTTGGCCCATATATTTTTACCACAAGCCAGATTTTTTAAAAGGCAAATAATGTAGCCACCCCGGTTTCCTGTTTCTAAGCTTATAATTCTTTAAACTGAGAAATCAAGTTCTCCATTCTCCATAGCAGGCTTATTTCTGTATTTGATTTAGAATTATATTTATATTTATTTTATACAAATAAAGTTAGATGGAAATAATTAGAGAAGTATTAGTCATTCATGGGTAAGCTAAGCCAATATAATAAAAAATAACAATTCTATCTAAACCCGCTTATTCAGTACCATCCCAACTAAGCTACCAAAAAAATATTTTCTTGAGCAAGAAAAAAAATAACAATGTTCACTTGGAAGAACAAAAGGTCAGTAATATCAAAGGAATTAATGAAAAAAAAAGTAAAGAGGGAGGCTAGGAGTATCAGATCTTACATTGTATTATAAGACAGTAATTATCAAAACTAGTACTACCTAAGGAATAGAATGGTGAATCAGTGGAACAGAGACATACAATGCATAGTAATAAATGGTTATAGTAACCTTGTGTTTGTTAAACATAAATATCTAAGCTTTTGAGATAAGAACTCACTATTTGGTAAAAATTTCTGGGAAAATTGTAAAACAGTCTGGCAGAAACTAGATATAGATTAATATCTTACACTGTTTACCAAGATAAAGTCAAAATGGATACATGACCTGGACATAAAGGGAGATACCACAAGTAATTTAGAACATGAAACATATTATCTATCAAATTCATGAATAGGAAAAGAATTTATGAATAAATAAGAGAAAACATTATGGGATGTATTTTTGATTGCATTAAATTTTAAAAAGTTTTTGTACAAATAAAACCAATGTAACCAAGATTAGAAGGAAAACAGAAAGTGGGGAGGGGAGATTTTTATAGCCTGTTTCTCAGAGGAAGGCCTCACGTCTCAAATATATAGAAAACTGAGTCAAATTTACAAAAACAACTTATTCCCCAATTGATAAATATTCAAAAGATATGAACAGACAATTTTTGAAAGAAGAAGAAATCAAAGCTCTCTATAGTCATATAAAAAATGCTCCAAGTCATTATTGATTAGAGAAGTGCAACAGAAGAACAATGCAAGGAAATCAGTTTTGTTTCTAGGAAAGCAACGAAAACAGTGATATTTTGTACTTGACATGTTTCTTGACTGCTCTTTTCGCATCATTATCTGTGATTATATTTTTTTTAATTTTCTTTTGTTGAAAAAGGAGTAAGCTTGTATTTTCTGGAAAATGGACATCATACAGAAAAACTTATTCCTCGATAATGCTGGGTAAATAAAACGTTGCTACATATAAGAAATCAAAGTGCCACAATTTTTTAAATTCCATTTTAGGAGAAAAAAAAGTTCACATCATGAATAACAGGGCCAGCCTTAAAGTTGGGAAGACATGGGTTTAAATGTTGCCTCTGACAGTACTAGTTGTGTTGTGCAGACAAGTCATTTTACCCCTCAGTGTTTGTTACAGAAGATATTTTGAATTTATCAATGGAGGGAGTTTCCACACTGGGAATTACCCACAATGATGAAATTGCAGTTCTAAACCCCCCAAAAAAGTTTTTCAAATTTTCTCTGGGTTTGAATGTGGCTATCTGATTCAGTGCCCATGCTGAGACTAATTCTTTGCCATTTTCTATTGCCTCTTTTTTTTCTCTCAAACTATTAGCCTCTTTTCTTATCTATAACTTTCTCCTTCAGCTCTTTTCTTTGCTTCCTACAAAGCCCATCTTCAGCAAGCTTTCCCTGAATGAGAACAGAGTATTTTTTTCCTCTTTTATCCAATTTAATGTTGAATCAATTTAAACAAAAAACCATGAAGAGTCTTTCCCATTCTTATTTAGAAGCTTAATTCTTACCATGACCATGTTGTGCTCTACCAGACACGTCCCTATAGAATGGGTGACATTCTCTATATATCTCTGCTTTAGTATATTATATTACAAATTCTCTAGGTTATGGACTTTTATAAATGTTGTGAGTTATTTGGCATTCTAATCTATTTCATATTGAAATAGTACTGCTTTACTCATTTACATATTTTAAATAAATACCAACTATATATATGGGAACTATGTTCCTATCTCTTTTATCCTTAACTTATAAAATGGTCCTTTCTTTTGTTATCCTCACATTGGGTTTGATGTTTCAGAGTATTGTGCCCTCAATATGATGAAACACACAAAACTGAAATGAGCTAAAATGTCTTTTAGGGAAAAACTAGTCCCCAAGTTATCTGGTTAACAATGTACATGAACAAATTGTTTCCTGCCTAGAACGTCTGCTAGAATATTTACCTAAGATATATGCACAGCAATATCCGTGTATGATATGCTTGTTATATGGAGCAGAGACATCTCGGACCCTGAATTTTGCACGAGAGACATAAATATAGAGAATATTTATGACATTTTCAGTAGCTGTTCTAGTGTTCTACACAGTGGGCATTCCAATTTTGATAAAGTAGTTAACTGGGTTGGGGTCCAGATTTGTTGTTTGAGTTCATCAGAGCCCATTTTAATGCATTGTTTTACCTTATAGGATGGTCTCTAAATGTGACCAGGAAAGAATATTAATTTTTTGATGAAAAATCCAATATTCCTCATAGTCTAACAATATCTAATTTGTCTGGCACCTACAGTAGAGGGTGACTGATTGGTGACCTACTTCTGTATTCCATGAATTTTGTAGAGAAGATGTATGGAATGTTCTCCATCACCAAAGACTAAGATCATTGTCTGCTACTAAAGGGTTTTCTAAATTAGTTCTGTCACTAGAAAGTTTACTAAACTAATTCTGTTACTAAGGGGTTGATTTTTATCTTTACATATCCTTGTATACTCTCTTCTTTGAAGAAAAAATATCCATTAATTGGAATCTTGTTGTTTTTTTGTTTGTTTTATTTTGTTTTTGTTTTTGTCGCTCAGGCGCTGCTACAGTATCTAAAATAAATCAGTTTTTGGAGAATGAAGACAAAGAAAATTTACTGGAAGTGCTACAATCTAGCTATTCAGAAGCAAGACAAATGATCGCCCTGCATGCTAAAGATTACTATCAAAAGCTTTTTGAAGCTAAGAAGCAGAAGTCATTTGGAGGTAAACCTACTATTCCTTAAGAAGCAAAAGTAGATTGCTTGATGTGTTCTTTGAGTTATCCTTCTTGTAACAAGATTAATTCAATACTGATAATAATAACTTGGTATCTATATAGGCTTTAAATAAAGTCTGTAGATCACATTACATAGAATGCCTCATTCGAACCTAATAACAAGTCTATAAAGTAGTTATCACATATGTTGTTATCTATAAAAATGACCATCTGGCAGTGAAGGCAACTGAGCTTCAGAAATGTTACATGGTCACAAGGCTCGTAAGTATTAAGAGATTAGAATACTAAAATATTCCTGGCTCCAAATCCAGAAACCTCTCAATTTCCCTTGCCCAGATCATACTCAGTCCCTCTTGAAACCAATGGCACATATTTGCAAAAATCACCTTTGAAAAAACTCCTTTGAACCTGTTTTTCTTCTTTTCCTGTAAAGTGAAGGGATTGCGTTTAACAATTGCCTAGCTCTCTTGTAACTCCCTGTTAGAGAGTTTCTTGATTTGGGGTTCAGGAACTTTAAAAAAAATGTATTTTTTGATAACTGCATTTCAGTATAATTGGTTTCCTTTGTGATACTATGTGCTTTATTTCATGCATTGAAAAATATTATACTCAGAAGAGATCCATAGGCTTCACCAGATGCCAAAAGAGTTCATGACAAAAATGAAAAACTTATGTTCTATAATAACAATAGTAATAACTCATAATAGTAATAATAAGAATTAAATAAGAATTTGCAGAAAGCTTTGAGGTTTGCAAAGCACTTTACTCATGTTATCTCATTTGTCCTCACAACTACTGCACAAGGCAGATGCTTTTGTTATTCTTATTTTACAGATAAGGAAACTGAGGCTCAGAATGGCTAAGTGATTTGCCTAGGATAACACAGCTTCTGAGGCAGGTTTTGAACTTAGATCTTCTTGACTCTGAGTGTGGCACTCTATTTACTGTACCATACAGCTTCCTCAGTAAATATTAGGCTAGCATTAGGAATAGCCACAGAATAGAATGAAATTGATAGTCCAGTATATTCCCTATGCCTCCTTTGTTATTTCACCTTAGGATGATAAAATTTGTTGGAACAGAGGGGAAAGAGACAAATATTATAGGAATAAATCTTTATGAGTACGTCAGGCTTTAGGAAAAATTCCACTAACTCTATGCATTTTCAGACTCTGCTTGTAATTATAAACTTATTTCCAGCCTTCCCTTAATGATCTTTTCTTGGTACACTTAGAGACCATTCCTTCCTAAGTAGTGGCTTTCCTCCCCGAAAGGGCAGGGAACGCCTTTTATTGGTTAGAAAAAGTGAATGTCTTTCTCCTCTTCCATCACCAGTGATCTGAGTCTGCCCTCATTTATAGACAGACAGCATGAGTTTAAAAAGTACAACTGAAAGGTTACAAACATAAAATAACTGTTTTGCTTTAGAGACTCAACTTGAAGGTGTGCACATTTCTGGAAGATGAGAAAATGTTTGTCTAGGACTTCCTCATTTTAACTCTCTCTAGTCATTTTGCTTGTTCACTGTAGGCCTACACCTAAGGCTATTTCTTAAGTGATTGACACCTACATATCCTGACTGACCTGTTCTTAAAAGCCAGGCAATGTGCTAGGGACTTGCTTTTCCCAGTCTGTCATGTCTGACCTTAAACTAACTAAATAAAACAAACAAATCAATCAAATTAAATAAATAAAATATTTTGAAATAAATATAAAAAAATACATAAAATAAATTAGCAACATGGTATTTTTACTTGTCTCTGATCATTTACCTGCTGTGATATAATGGGAGGGCTTTCCTAGGTCAATAGAGGTATACTCTAATTCATCAACCTTTCTGCTCCGCTGACATCTCACCAAGGATAACTAAGGCCAGTTTTGTATACTTTCTCTCTCCTACCTATGAGGATCCTTTGTGGTATATAGAAAATGCCATTCTTTAAAACCACAACAATTACTTGTCAGCATCACAAATAAACGTAACCATATGATACATTTTAGTGTAGTATAACATATAAAAACATTGGTAGTTTTTTCATCCATGCCTCTTTGAAGATAGGCATACTTATTTGCCTGGGCTTTATAGAGGGCAGTGCATCATATCAAATGAGCTGTAGAATGTATATAGGGCTCCCATGCATACATATACGTGTGTGTGTGTGTGTGTTTGTGTGTGTGTATATATATGTCTATGTGTGTGTGTATCTATATGTATACATATTGGGGAAAGAAGCTTATAAAACCAGCTCAAAAATTCTTTGAGTGTTCTCATAACTTAAATTATGATCAACGATATTGCTGATTATAATTCCAATAGCCTGATGATGTCATACACCCTATCTTGTGGGAAAGACACAATAGCCCTATCATGAGGTACAGAATAACCTAGGCTAGAGAGCTGCTGACTTCTAGTCCAGTTCTGTATCTGTGTCCTATGACATTCAGGGCTGGTTTCCAAATATGGACTATAATTCATAAATTTGTTTTGGGGTTGTTTTTTTAGCATTTAATTTTTCACAAGTTACATGTCAAGAACATTTTTAGCATTCATTTTTACAAGATTCTGAGTTCCAAATTTTTCTCTCTCCCTCCCTCCCATCCCTTCTGTCTTTTGAAAATGGTAAGCAATTTGATATAGTTTACATATGTGTTATCATGTAAAAACACATTTCCATATTCGTTGCAGTTGTGAAAGAAAAAATAGATGAAAAGGTAAAAAAAAAACAGTGAGAGAGAATAAAGCAAGTGAAAAAAAAACATGCTTTGATCTATATTCAGAGTCCATCAGTTTATTATGGGGATATGGATGGCATTTTCTTTCGCGAGTCCTTTGTACTTGTCTCAGATCGTTGTGTTACTAAGAAGAGCTGAGTCATTCATGGTTGATCATTAAACAATGTTGCTGATACTGTATATAATGTCAAGTCTTTACAGGATTTTCTGAAATCTGGCTGTTCATAATTTCTTATTGCACAATAAATAGTATTTCATTACATTCACATACCCCAGCTTGTTCAGCTATTCCCCAATTAATGGGTATACCCTCAATTTCCAATATTTTGCCACCATGAAAAGGGCTGCTTTAATATTTTAATATTTTCCTGTTTTATGATCCCTTTGGGATACAGACCTAGCAGCGGTATTGCTATATCAAAGAGTGCGCACAGTTTTGTGCCCTATGGGCATAGTTCTGAATTGCTCTCCAGAATGGTTGGATCAGTTCACAACTCCACCAACAATGCATCAGTGTCTAAATTTTCCCACATCCTATCCAACATTTATCCTTTTTCTTTTTTTTTTTGTCATATTAGCTAATCTGGTAGGTATGAAGTGGTATCTCAGAATTGTCTTAATTTGCATTTCTCTAATCAAAAGTGATTTAGAGCACTTCTTCCTATGACTATAGATAGTTTTGATTTCTTGATCTGAAAACCATTTATTCATATTCCTTGACCATTTAACAGTTGGGGAAAGGCTTTTATTCCTATAAATTTGATTCAGTTCTCTATATATTTGAGAAATGAGGCCTTTATCAGAGATATTTAATGTAAAGATTGTTTCCCAGCTTTCTGCATTCCTTCTAATCTTGGTTGCATTGGTTTTGTTTGTTCAAAAGTTAATTTAATATAATCAAAATTATCTACTTTACATTTTTAATGTTCTCTATCTCTTGTTTGGTCATGAATTCTTCCGCTCCCTATAGACAAGTAGACTATTCCTTGCTTTTTTAATTTGCTTATGGTGTCACCCTTTATGTCTAAATCACACACCCATTTTGACTTTATCTTGGTATATAATGTGAGATGTTGGTCTATACCTAGTTTGTGTCCTATTGTTTTCCAGTTTTCCAAGCAGTTTTTGTCAAATAATAAGTTCTCCCTAAAGCTGGGGTATTTGGGTTTACCAAATACTAGGTTACTATGGTCATTGACTATTGTGTCTTGTGTACTTAATTTATTCCACTTATCCACTGCTCTGTTTCTTAGCCAGTACCACATAGTTTTGATGATCACTGCTTTATAATATAGTTTGAGATCTGGTATTGCTAGGGCCATCTTGGTGTTTTTGTTTTTGTTTTTTCATTAATTCTTTTTATATTCTTGACCTTTTATTCTCCCATATGAATTTAGTTGTTATTTTTTCTAGCTCTGTCAAATAATTTTTTGGTACTTTGATTGGTATGGTACTGAAAAGGTAAATTAGTTTAGGCAAAATTGTCATTTTTATTATGTTGGTTTGGCCTACCCATGAGCAATTGATATTTTTCAATTGTCTTGATCTGACTTTATTTGTGTGAAAAGTGTTTTATAATTGTGCTCATATAATTCCTGGGTTTTTCTTGGCAGGTAGACTCCTAAGTATTTTATATTGTTTACAGTTATTTTAAATGGAATTTCTCTTTCTATTACTTGCTGCTGGGCTTTATTGGTCATATAAAGAAATGCTGATGATTTATGTGGGTTTATCTTATATCCTGCAACTTTGCTAAAGTTGTTAGTTATTTCAAGTAATTTTTTAGTTGATGTTCTAGGGTTCTCTAAGTATACCATCATATCATCTGCAAAGAGTGATGTTTTTTTTCCTTATTGCCTATCCTAATTCCTTCAATTTCTTTTTCTTCTATTATTGCTATAGCTAACATTTCTAATACTATATTACATAATAGTAGTGATAATGGGCATCCTTGCTTTACCCTTGATCTTATTGGGAAAGCTTCTAGCTTATCTCCATTACAAATAATGCTTGCTGATGGTTTTAGATAGATACTGCTTATCATTTTAAAGTATACTCCCTTTATTCCCATGCTCTCTAGTCTTCCTAATAGGAATGGGTGCTGTATTTTGTCAAAAGTCTTTTTAATATCTATTGAGATAATCATATGATTTCTGTTGATTTTCTTATTGATATGGTCAATTATATTGATAGTTTTCCTAATATTGAACCAACCTTACATTCCTGGTATAAATCTCAACTGGTCACAATGTAT